ATTGATCGAATATGGGCTTGATTAGATTAAAAGCTTGAAAAGACATTTTCAGGTTCATGAATATAAATGGCGTATTTGTAATGAACTGGCAGAGCAGCTGGAGTTTTGTGAATAAACAGGGAGTGGTTGAAGATGATGGAATGGGATGGGGAATATGCCAGAGCTGTATAGATTATACATGTGCTGTTTTCCAAGGGCCTGTGGGTACTAATCAAAGAAAATATTCTCCATTCTATTTTAGTTTTTTTAAAAGAGTCATTGAAGAAAGTACAACTTTTTACCAAACTGGCAACTTAAATTTAAACGTTGTTCTATGGATGGCAGGGAAGGAGAATGGTAATGTACTAGTAAATCAGCTATTATTGTTGTGCTGAAAGACAGATTGAAAAGAAGTGACTAGTACCAGGCAGATAATTCTGTGGCAGGTTTTTTTTTTTTTTTTTTGTAGCTTTCAGATTAAGGAAAGGAAATTTGCTTTTGCTAAATTTCATCCAGAGAAGACATATATTCTTCTTGCAGTAACTTTGCAAACGGGCTTGTGTGAACAATCTGCTTTTCAGTATATAATTCTTACTCCAGAATTCTGCATTCTCTCATTAAATTCAAGAACATTGTGAAGGAATTCTTCCCCTGAAGTGTTTTTTTTTTCAGGAGATGCAACTGAAGGGATGGAGACAGGTAGAAATTCATATCTCCAACCCCATCTCAGCTCAAATTCTGAGAGAGATTATGATGTAGATTGCCTGAGAGTTTCATAAAAGGTAAAAATACAAGGAAGTAAATAGATAACACAGTCTATATTTACTGTCTATATTTAAAGTTGGAATTAAGATTGCTGGGAGAAATATCAACAACCTCAGATTTGCAGATGATACCACTCTAATGGAAGAAAGTGAAGAGGAACTAAACAGCCTCTTGATGAGGGTGAAGAAGGAGAGTGCAAAAGTTGGCTTGAAACTCAACATTAAGAAAACTAAGATCATGGCATCCGGCCCTCTCAATTCCTGGCAAATAGATGGGGAAGAAATGGAGGTAGTGACAGATTTCATTTCCCTGGGCTCCAAGATCACCGCAGATGGGGACCACAACCAAGAAAAGATGCTTGCTCCTGGGGAGGAAAGCTATGGCAAATCTAGACAGCATATTAAAAAGCAGAGACATCACCCTGCCAACAAAAGTGTGCATAGTCAAGGCTATGGTTTTCCTAGTGGCAATGTATGGCTGTGAAAGTTGGACCATAAGAAAGGCTGAGTACCAAAGAATGGAGGCCTTTGAGCTATGGTGCTGGAGAAGACTCCCTTGGCGAGTCCCTTGGACTGCAAGGCGATCAAACCGGTCAGTCCTAGAGGAGATCAACTCTGACTGCTCTTTAGAAGGCCAGATCCTGAAGGTGAAACTCAAAGACTTTGGCCACCTAATGAGAAGGAAAAGCCTCATGCTGGGAACGATTGAGGGCAAAAGAAGAAGAAGGGAACGGCAGAGAATGAGGTGGCTGGATGGAGTCACTGAAGCAGCTGGAGTGAGCTTAAATGGACTACAGGGGATGGTAGAGGACAGGAAGGCCTGGAGGAACATTGTCCATAGGGTTGCGATGGGTCAGACACAACTTCACAACTAACAACAACAAATATTTACTGGTACTGCTCTTTCTTTCTCTGTTACTTAATATTTTGAAATAAGTTTAAAAATAAAGGCAAATACATAGATAACATAGCCATAAAACAAATTACAGTGTAAAGGTAGTTCTTGACTTTTCATAGACCATTGAATTATTGGGCTGGAAGGGACCTTAGAGGTCTTCTAATCCAACCCCCTGCTCAAGACAGGAGCCTCATAACATCGCAGTCAAATAGTTGTCCACTCTACTTTTGAAAACTTCCAGGGATGAAGCACCCATAATTCCAGGAAGGCAAGCTATTCCACTGATTAATAGTTAACATTTACAGAAAGTTTCTCCTTACTTCTTGGTTATATTACCCTTTAATGAGCTTCCACCCTTTATTTCTTATCCTGCCCCCTGGTGCTTTGGAATTCTTAACCCAGGTATTACCTGTAGTAAACTCCATGAGTTTCTGTTCAACTCCATGAGATGTTTCTTTTTTTAACTGAATTAAAATATAGGGGGATCTACATTCCATTTAACGGGATGTGGTGGCTCAGTGGCTAAGACGCTGAGCTTGTTGATCAGAAAGGTCGGCAGTTCGGCAGTTCAAATCCCTAGCACTGCATAATGGAGTGAGCTCCCATTACTTCTCCTAGCTTCTGCCAAACTAACAGTTTGAAAGCATGTAAAAATGCAAGTAGAAAAATAGGGACCCCTTTGGTGGGAAGGTAATAGCATTCCCTGCACCTTCAACGTTTAGTCATGCCAGCCACATGACCACGGAGATGTCTTCAGGCAGCGCTGGCTCTTCGGCTTTGTAATGGAGATGACCACCGCCCCCTAGAGCTGGAAATGACTAGCACGTATGTGTAAGGGGAACCTTTACTTTTTACATTCCATTTACATTTCAAATCTGTGAATCTTGGACAGAGACATCCATGGTGCTGCTTTTGTTTTCAGTGTCCCACTGAAATAAGCCTGAATCTAGGAAGACTGCAAATCAACAAGAGGCTGCATCATAAATTAGGGGACCATCCAATTTGCAGCGATTCCAACTATCACTTGATAACAATAAACATTGAATTCATGCATACGTTTTTCCTGTTCACTTGCCTTTGAAACATTTCATTCTTCTAGAAAATTATTTGGCAGTATGGATGTCAAAAAAGGGATGAGATAATCTTAAGTGATCGGATCGCTTTTAATCCAACACTAAGAACATTTTTAAAAGATCCACTTTCCATGGGAAAAGTTTTTTTTTTAGTTATCATTGGGATATTATTTTCAAAGTTGGTACAAAGTGCACGGAAGGCAGACAGTTAGACTCCAGTAAATGCAAAATCGTCAGGAGGGGAAAATTATCTTTGAAATAGCAACAGCCTGATTGCTAGCAATAGGTAATTTGAGATCCTGTAAAATAGTCGGAATATAAGCACCGAGAAGAGAAAATTGTTGACTAAAAATGGCTTCTACCTTGACCAATAATGAAAGTTGCTAACATTTATGGAGCCTCACTACGTGCAGCATTGCAGCTAGTGAATTTAAATGTGTGTTGTTGAAAGCCTTAATTGCAAGGTCACACATACTTTAATTTTCTCTCCGTCCTGAAATATCATTAATGTTATAAAGCTGTGAAAATGTACTGATGACAAATTAAATGGATGTTCTTATAAGTGGAGGAGGCATGATGGCTCAGCAGTTAAAGACGCTGAACTTGTTAGTCCCAAGCAGTGATGGGATTCAAATTTTTTTACTACCGTTTCTGTGGGTGTGACTTGGTGGGCGTGGCAGGGGAAGGATACTGTAACATCTCCAGCCAGAGGCAGGATTGGCTGGTTCTCTGAACTACTCAAAATTTCCGCTACCGGTTCTCCAGAACTGGTCAGAACCTGCTGAATACCACCTCTGGTCCCAAGGTACTTTTTCAGGAGACAACTGGACTTTCTTGTTTTTTTGTTTTGGAGACGTTTCATTTCACATCCAAGAAGCTTCTTCAGCTCTGACAGGATAGTGGGGAATGGAAGGATTTCTATTCCTTGCAGCCAGCTGGTCATTTGCATCCTTTTAGAGGGTTGTTGAGGCCACCTGGAGGTTTATCGGTGTCCTCAGGGTCACCTGAGTGGTGCTCCTGGTTCCTATAGTCTTCAATTTTTCCTCTGGAAACCCATTCCTGGTGTGAATGGTATGGGAGTAGGGATGGATTTCCAGAGAAAAAAAAATTGCAGACTACAGGAACCAGAGCACCCTGAGGACACAGATAAACCTCCAAGTGCTTCAACAACTCTCTAAAAGGATGCAAATGACCAGCTGGCTGCTAGGAATAGAAATCCTTCCATTCCCCACTATCCTGTCAGAACTGAAGAAGCTTCTTGGATGAGAACTGAAACATCTTCAAAACAAAAAAAACTCTTAAGAAAGTCCAGTTGCCTCCTGAAAAAGCAGCTTTGGGACAACCATGACCTGGATGATAGACTCTAAGCTGAAAAAGGCAGAATATTATATTTCCCTAAAGGAAGAGACAGCCCCCATCTTTCCTCATAGCCCTTAGCAGATGTCAGCATTTAAGAGATAAGGAGATAGATAGCTCTATTCATAGGCAAAGCAAGTACTGCAGGCAGAAATCCATTCGAGACAGGATATTTTGAAATGCAGCAAAGTCTTGAACAAAGTCAGAATGATAGGATTAAGCCTCACTCAAGATCCAAACCAGGACAAAGCCATTAAGCCATAATAGGACTTGCCCAACACCCTTTCAGAACACAATCCTCTTCATTGCATCACCTCAGCAGTCCAAACTTCAACCGAACCTGGGAGCTCAGGCAACCTATAGAGCCAGCTATGACCCTACAACAGTCAATAGAATACATGTTCTTGCACAGGAACAGGAAGCTCAAATCTAAAGCCCAAGAGAAGGTATAAACCCCCTCTCAACTCCATGTGTTCAGCTGCCCAGAACCACCCATGTGCTTCTGCTTCATCATTAAACCATCTTTCTAATCAGCCTCCAGCCTCCATTTTGTCTCCAGTGCCTTTCTCCTGGCTTGGAACTGAACCAAACGGATATTTCTTCCAACAGTGTAAACACTTCAAAACAACCAAGATTGCCCAATGTTGAAAATTTACTGGAGATTCTATTTGCTTTCACACATGCTTTGACTGCATCATCAGACACCCCTGTAGTATTCAGGAAGCAACTTTGAGCTCCACCTGTGTCACTTCCCCTTTGCAATAGGCAAGGCCTATGGCTATGACTTAGAACAGAGGTCTCCAAACTTGGCAACTTAAGACTTCTGGACTTCAATTCCCAGAATTCTCCAGCCAGGATAGCTTAAAGTTACTATGTTTGGGGACCCCTGACTTAGAAAATGCAGCTGATCTTTGGGCTTGATCTACTCACCTCCCTCAGCAGAACTGATCACAACAATTGGGCTGAAGGGTCCATCGCCTTTGTTGTTATATGCTCCAACTTTCACCTCAAATGGAGTCAAGGGAGGCACGCTTTCATCTCTGTAGATGAACTTGGAGGCATCAGAAGACGTGACCATTTTTTCTTTCCAGCCTCTTGTCCCATTTGGTCGAAAAGCCACAATATATCCAAAGCTTTCCCCATTCTGAAATTCTTCGGAGACTGGCTAAAGAAAAAACAAACTCATTATTATTATTATTATTATTATTATTATTATTATTATTATTATTAT